GAACAAGTAGAGAAAAAGTATAATAAGGGCTAAGCGACGTATAGGGACGAAACGCGTTGGTGAAAAAACCTTTTATCGGATGCCCTATTTTTTGAAATAATGATTGACTCCTTATATAGTAAAATGGTGAATGAGTCAAGTGGGTGAATGAAGATGATGGCACCGGTTTCTGAGGCTTTGCTGCTGATTGTGCAGGTGCATGTGTTGTTCTTGATGATGAGGCTGAAGCATTTTATTCTCTGGCTTGTTTCCCCTCCACCTCTACAACCAAGTCGCGTCGACAAACATTATGTCAGCGGGCAGTTTCGAAGAGGCACATATATTTATCGTGCTCACTCCTCTTTTAGCCAGTATATGTAGCTTCTCATTTTGTTCGTAACACAACATGCAATCATATGAAACATTATGGTCGAAGATGGATTCAGAAATGGGACGCCTATCTAATCTCATCACCCACTGGAACACCCATATCGAATGATGATCCACCCAATAAAAATCCGTCTTTCATTGTCACATTAAGCGATGCAATTCGTCTAAGTCTAGTGGTGGTGGTGGAATCGCTTGGACACATTTAAATTATGTCATCATGAGGTGGTGTGAAACGGTTAATATAACACATCAACGCACATTCATACCCCTTCAAATAAAATTTTTAAAATAAATAACTAAATAAAAATTAATTAATTAAAAAGATTACCTCTGAATTTATCCGCCAATAATCGAACACATGTCTTTCATCAATCCTTAGTAATTCCACCATAATAATGAATAATCGGATTTTAAAGTAATAAGTAAAACACCCAAGAGATAAGAAAAAAACAGAGAGAGATAAATGTGTGAGAAGTTGGGTTAACAGAGACCCTATTTATAAGAGTCCTTACATCCCTTACGAAGCAAGATTAATGGAACCTCGTGTTTTGCATAATGCGTCTGTAACTTTTCATAGGGACATCATGTCTTGCACAAGGCGAGGTCCTATAGAATTTAATTTGAATTTTTAAATTTCATTTTGAAGAACGTGATAAAATGCTCAAACGTTTCAATTTCTCGTGGACCTCGCGTTTTGCATAACGCAATGTCGTTTATCCAAATATTAAATTGTGTTATCTGAAAAGTGCTTCCACGCGGGATGAGTTTAGCGCCCTATACAATGCGAGGTCCTTTTACGCGTTTTGCATAATCGAGTTAGTCATACGTGAACAGTTTGTGGGTTATTTTTTCAAATATTTCCTGCATGAAATAAATTTGGAAAAACTATATCAGTAACCACTTAACTATATCCCTTTTTCATTTTGACCGCATTTTTCATTTTTTATCAATCAGGTCACTCAACTATTTAAATGCATTCAATCAAGCCACATGTCGTTAAAAGATAACGAAAGTGTTGACATGGCAGTTAATAAAATTGGTATAATTACACATTTGATCCTCAATGTTTATACATTCTATCAATTTGATCATAATTTTAATTTAATTTAATAAATTTAATGTCCAATTAGATGGTGACACATGTCACTATCAGATTGGATGACATTTATTAATTTTTAATTTATTTTATTTTGCATCCAATCATGTGGTGAGGATTTAACCTGTAACCTGGAGCAAACTTAAGGCACACCTGAACCACTATGGTAAGCCTCTTAATTGGTTATATTTTACAACATTTCATAAATAATATGTTATAACTAATGGCAGGGATTTTAAGAGGGAATGCAAGCACTTTAACCCTTAAACCAAACCTTATATTCAATTAAATTAATGAAATTAAAAATTTAATTTTAAAGAATGTAATATATAGATAAATTTTAAAATAATATAAAAATTAACATATATATATAATATTATAAATTTTAATTGATATTAATGGTTTTGTTTTTCATCTAAAAAATAAAAAACATGTTATTTAATAATAAAATATTTAAATAATAAAAATATAAAAATATTTTAATTATCATAAAATTGTAAACTTCATAAAAATATTAAAAATATAAATAAAGTAAGTAAAAAGATAAAATAATTAATGACAAATTAATAAATTTATTGTTTTTACTGATTGATTTAATATAATAAAATTTATCTATATATTATAGTTTTTAAAATTAAAATTTTAATTTCATTAATTTAATTGAATATAGAGTTTAGTTTAAGGGTTAAAGTGATTGCATTCTCTCTTAAATTTCCTACCATTAGTTATAATAGATTATATATAAAATGTTGTAAAATTTAACCAATTGAGAGGCTTAGTCTAGTTATTTAGGTGTGTCTTAATTTGCTCTAGGTTACATGTTCAATCCTCCTTGGAAGTGGGTAATATTTAAAAGTGTTTTGCTTGTCAAATAATACCACCTGATTGGATGTAAAATAAAATAAATTAAATAATTAAAATTAATAAAATATCATTCAATCTCATAGTGACGCATGTCATAATCTAATTGAATATTAAATTTATTAAATTGAATTAAAATTATGATCAAATTGATAGAATATATAAATATTGATGATAAAATATGTAATTCTACCAATTTTATTTATTGTCATATCAGCACTTCTGTTAACTGTTAATAGCAAGTGACCTGATTGAATGTATTTAAATAATCGAGTGATTTGATTGATAAAAAATTTAAAAATAGTGGTCAAAATAAAAAGAAATTATATTATACCCAATAAATTTTAAAGGGTGTTTTTTAATAAAAACTTCGGATCCAAGGAAATTATGGAAACCGCGGAGAACCTTACGCAAGTAGTTTTAACGGAAACCGCAAACGACTAACCTGTCCTTTCATTGCGTGTCTTGTTCTTCATTCTACAACTTTTTATTTATTATATTCTAGATTTTGTTGTAAAATACATATGTATTAATTTAATGTTTGAATAACAATTAATGGTTTTAATTATTTTTATTTAAAAAATATAAATTTATAAAAAAATTATTATAATATTAAAGGTAAATTATACAAATGGTTCCTCGACTATAGGTGTTACTTTATTGAGTCTCCTAACTATTTAAAATTATAAAATGATTTCCCGATTATATAACATTATTTTGTTGAGTCTATTTACTATTAAAAGTTAGGGTTAACTATACGAATGATCACTTATGTATGTCTTTTGTCTACTTTTGGTCACTGATTTCCAAAATCATAAGATATGATTAATTTCGTTTTTATTTAATTAAGATTTGGTTAGTACGAGTTAAATGTCATTAACAACAGTTAAATATTTTGATATAATTACATGTTTGTTCCCTGATATTTACATATTCTCTCAATTTAGTCATACTTTTAATAAATTAAAATAAATTTAATCCACTAATCAAATGATGTCACATGTCATGCCACGTGTCACCATTCGGTTGGAGGAATAACTTTATTTTAATTTAATATATTTATTTTTACCAATCAATGTCACCCTCTGGGTGAAAGAAAATAAAGGAAATCAAATTGAGGCAAAAAAGATTCACACCTAGGTCACTTAGAAAACTAAACATGTATCTAACCATTAAGTAAAGACCATTATTGGGTATAAAGTAAACAACATGGTGTATATATTTTGTATTTTAGTGTATAAATACTTAAATTCATAATATTATATATATATATATATATTAATTTAAAATATATTTGTATATTACTTATTAAAAATACTTTATTATTAAATTAATTTTTTAAAAGATTTTATTTTTTATTTTCATTTAAAAATATATATTTTATGTTACAATTTATTTAAAAATATGACTAAATTGAGAGAATATGTAAATAAAAGGGACCAAATATGTGATTATACCAACTATCATGTCACATATTTTATTAATTGTTAACTACAATTAACTCGTGATGACCACATCTTAATTAAATAAAAATGAAACTAACCATATTTAATTAAATAAAAACGAAAGTGACTATATCTTATGTTTTTTTTAAACCAGTTACCAAAAGTGGACAAAATACAAACATAAGAGATTATCCATGTAGTTAACCTTAAAAGTTATAAAGTGGTCATTTTACTATTTATATGTTCCAAAATAATCCAATATTTTCCGTTAAAAATTTACTAGCATGACATGAGGTATCAACAACATGGCATAATGTGTTTATAACTCAAATGGTTTTGAGATCATATCTTAACATATCTCAGTCAATATGTTAATGTCAAACTCAGTAGGTTGCCAATTTTTAACAAAAAGCACAAGTTTAGAACATATAAATAGTCATGTGGTCATTTTATAACTTTTAATATTCAGGGGACTCGACAAAATAACACCCTATGATCGAGAAACAATTTAATAATTTTTAGTAGTTGAGAGACTCAACAATACACTATAGTGAGGAGACCGTTTAATTATTTTATCTTAATATTAATTATCATTTGAAATAAATTAACTAGATATTTAATTAACCTTTAACAATAATTGAGTAGAAAATAATTAAAAAAATGAGATGAAAGATGTATATTAATATAGTGTTTATTCTCAAATATTAATTTTTAATTATTTTATTTAAATATTATATAAAAAAGTCATGATTTATTGAGATGACGTAATAAGTCAAATAGTGTTCAAGATTTGATTCTTTACCTTATGAATAGAGTAAGTTTTTTTAAGCTAAGGTTACAAAGTAGTATATGTTTTAAATACTCTCAATCATTTAACAATAAACATTATATCACCCTGCTACAATCGTTGGTGCTTAAACCCATGATCTTTTGAAACAACAACGATTCATTTAACCATAAAGATAAGTTAATTCATGATTATGAATAGAGTAAGTTGAATTAAAATGATCATCCTATAAAAATATAATATTACGAATGAAACAAATTAAATTAAAGAAATTAATATATTAATAGTATGCTAAAGTAAAATGTTAATGCCCTTCCATGTTTTCAACATGTATTCATACACAAGTGATTTCTAGGCAACGAAAACAAATGTGGGTTTGCACTATGGTGAAATAAAAGGTGTAACGAAACTCGAACCAGAGAGCATTATTAGAATTAATTACCAGAGAGTTTGAGAGCATAACAATGCTTCTACACCCACCTGCTTCTGCATATCTGCAATCATTGAAAGCATCCATGTAAACAATACTACTTTCTAAACCCAGATTTAAATACAACATCGTCCAAATACAATGTCCAAAATTAATATAAAACTCGTAAAAAAAGGTTATAAATCCTATGACATGTCAAATGTATCCGTAACTCAACTAAATGATAAGAGTTTAATGTTGTTCACAAGCACAATTTAAAGTGTGGCCGACACATGGTAGGCTTTCATATAATTGCATATCACAAACTAACAGCATATAGCTCGAGTTTGAGTCCAAATAAATGTCGGACTTCAGTTCCATAAAGTACACAATCTGCTAATGATTCAAAACATAACATGCTGCAATGATTGATAAACCGAACACATATCACAAAACACATACAGACTCGATTTTAATTACAGTCACATAATTCAAGAAAATTAATGTCTCTATTGATTGGTTATGCTGTTGTTAATTTATTTTCTTTTTCTCCAATAAAATTACTACTTCACATGGAGAATATAGTTCTCTGCCTGGAATTTCCAACACGTTATTTATCAAACTGCCGCTTATCTGTCTTTTGTCTTAGCTAATTACGTGATAATATTTAACAAATTCTGTATGTTAAACTGCTGCTTGTTGACATGATATTTGCTTATTGGGCATGGTCGAGGTTTAATGCGTTTGCAGGGACGCAAGCATGGATTTATGTCAGGGTAAGAACATAAAATAATTATATTAAAACTTTAGGGATGCAAGATTATAAAATCTCAGGGGTGTGAAATTAAATAGTTCATATAAAATACAAAGAAAATATTTAAAATACAATTGAATTTTAAATTTTTAGGGGATGTGAACGCACTCCCAACACTCCCTCGATCCATCCTTGTGTTTTGGTCATTTTAGACTCGTTGTGGTTGCATGACCTCTCCTACCATATGGTTAACTTATTGTCACACACCAAGAGCCCACAACCGAGGTTAGTCCATGAAGAGCAGCCCAAATGGGGGTTTGGACCTTCTAGAAGCCACAAAGACTTTAGTGGCATTTAAATTTGTATAGATAATGCCCACTTGTTTTTGGTAGGTAAGAATCAATCTAAACCGTCGATGTAATTAGATCTTAGTCGTTCATTGAGGGGAGCTTTAGCTATAAATAGAGGCCTCCCCTCCTCATTTGTACTCACTCCTTCACTTTGAGAAATCATAAGAGCATTCTTCTCTCAAAGCTTTCTTATTTTCCTTTTTGTGCTAGTTCTCTTGTCTAGCTTCCGTCGAGGTTATAAGCATCATTGCTTGGGATATTTTCAAGCTTACTTAGCCGCAATCACTAAGAAGGCGACTAAGGCCGCACGCTCTGAGGTGTCGAAGTTTCAAGGGCGTGACAAGTGGTATCAAAGCTAGTTTTATGAGAAATGGCACAACAAAACCAAGACGAGGTCCCGACAAGCGAAGTGACTCGTGTTACCGTACCAAAGAAGCGAGGGAACTCGAAAGATATGGTGGCCTCGTTCGAGCAAAGGGTCAGCAGGTTGGAAGACCGATATAATGAAGTCCAAGAGACTCAAGACTCGGTTGAATCTCGCTTGGAGAAAGTGGAGTCCGTGGAGGACGTACTCCGCGAAGAAACCCAAGCACTCATCAGCGAGTTGACGGAGAACGTAGACGAGCGTACCAGAGGCCTCGAGAGCATGTACTTGGCCATGAGGGCCGAAATAATGCAGGAGGTAAAGGAGCTCAAGAGCGAGCTACTTGTCTACAAGTTTACCGTGTTGAATGAAGTGACTGGGGAGGCGCAAGCACCAAGACCCAGGATCGACATCCCTAAGCCAAAGTAGTACAATGGGAGTCGAAATGCCCAAGATGTGGAGAATTTCATTTGGGGCATGGAGCAATTTTTTCGTGGCATGGGTATCGGGGATGATACCACCAAGGTAAATGTTGCTTCCAATTATCTTAACGATGTTGCTATGTTATGGTGGCGTCGTAGGTGTTCCGAGAATACGAATCCAATCGGAACGTGGGAAGAGTTCGTGGGAGAAATCAAGGAGCATTTCTATCCGAAAAATGTTGTGCTCGAGGCTCGAGCAAAACTAAAGCAATTGAGGCACGATCGTTCTATCTTGGAGTATGTCAAAAACTTCACAGAGATCAAGATGCAAATCCCGTACTTAGGCGAGTCAGAAGGGTACTTTGCATTCATGGATGGACAACAACGTTGGGCCAACATGGAGATCCAGAGGAGGGGAGTAAAGAACGACTCTCCAAGGCATTGGATGCAGCCGAGGCCATTGCCCCGTTGGAAGTAAAGAAGACCGACTCTCTCCAATCCAAGCCAAAACCCAAAGGTAATAGTGGGGGAGAGAAGGCCAAAGGAAGCTTTCACAAGCCAACAGGAAATCATGGGAAGCCAAATGATCGACCCAAAAAGCTCTTCAATTCTTGGGAGAAGAAGGGGGAATTATCATGCTTTTCTTGTGGAGGAAATCACATGAAACGATATTGTCCTCAACTTGTGAAAGTTACTACCATCAAGGAGAATGATGGGGTGGAGAGTGAGACTCTCAAACTTGGCTCCATCCTTAGCATCATGGAGGTCAAGAAGGGTCGGAAGAAGAAGGGATTGATGTACGTAGACATCATCGTGGCATGCCAAATGATGAGTGCACTAGTGGACACTGGTGCCTCAGAATTGTTCATGTCTGAACAAATTGCCAAGAGACTTGGCCTTTATGTGGAGAAGGCAACTGGATCCATCAAAACCGTGAATGCCAAAGAAGTTCCAATTGCGGGGGTCATAAAGGGAATCGAGCAAACCGTTGGAGGTTGGTCCGGAAAAGAAGCCATCAAGGTAATCCCTCTCGATGACTTCGACTTTGTTCTTGGGTTAAGTTTCTTGGACCGAATAAATGCTTTCCCAATGCCTTTTTCCGATTGCTTGTGCATCCTGGATCCAAAGTAACAATGCATTGTTCCAGTGAGTCGAGGGCCCAGAATCGAGGCAAAGATGTTGTTCACAATTCAATTCTCAAAGGGGGTGCGCAAGGAGGAACCCACTTTTGTGGTTTCATTGGTGGGAATTAAACCCACAATGACCGAAGAAGTCCAAAGTGAAGTGGGACAAGTATTGGCGGAGTTTAGGGATGTGATGCCCACTGAGCTGTAAAAGCATTTTCCACCGAAGAGAGAGGTGGACCACAAAATAGAGCTTGTGCCAAATGCGGAGCCACCCACCAAGGCACCATACTGAATGGCCCCACCGGAGTTAGAGGAGCTTCGCAGACAATTGAAAGAGCTCCTAGATGTTGGATACACCCGACCGTCAAAGGCACCCTTTGGTGCACCGGTGTTATTCCAGAAGAAGCATGACGGCTCCCTCAGAATGTGTATCAATTATCGAGCTTTGAATAAGCTCACTGTGAAGAACAAGTACCTGATCCCGTTGATTGCCAACTTGTTCGATCAACTTGGTGGTGTAAGGTGGTTCACCAAGTTAGATTTACGGTCCGGATACTACCAAGTTCGGATAGCGGAAGGCGATGAACCGAAAACTGCTTGCGTGACACGCTACGGTTCATATGAGTTCCTTGTGATACCCTTTGGCCTCACCAATGCCCCTGCAACCTTTTGCACGTTAATGAATAAGGTACTACAACCCTTTCTTGATCATTTTGTTATAGTTTACCTTGATGACATCGTTGTGTATAGTAAGACCTTGGAAGAACACGTTGAACACTTAAGAAGGGTGTTCCAAGTCTTACGAGAGAACGAGCTTTATGTCAAGGAAGAAAAATGCTCGTTTGTGCAAAAAGAAGTGTCGTTCCTAGGCTATATTATTGGAGGAGGCAAGCTCCAGATGGACAAAGACAAGATCCGGCCGATTGATGAGTTGAAGCCACCCACCAAGGTAACTGAATTGCGAGCATTCTTGGGATTAGCCAACTACTACCGACGGTTTGTGAAAGGCTATTCCAAGATTGCCACACCTTTGACCGAGCTACTCAAAAAGTACAAGGTGTGGGAATGGAAAACGAAATGCCAGGATGCTTTTGAAAAGCTCAAGGAGGCCATGGTGAATGAGCCTGTGTTGGTGTTGCCAGATTACACCAAGCCTTTCGTAGTTTTCACCGATTCGTCCGATGTTGCAATTGGTGGAGTCATCATGCAAGAGGGACATCCGGTTGCATACGAGAGCTGGAAGCTCAATGAGACCGAGCGGAGGTACTCAGTTCATGAGAAGGAGATGACAACAGTTGTACACTGCTTGCGGACATGGCGACACTACTTGCTTGGGTCCAAATTCGTGGTGTTCACGGACAATGTTGCCAACAGTTATTTTCTCACCCAGAAGAAGGTTTCTCCCAAGCAAGCTCGTTGGCAAGAGTTTCTTGCCGAGTTTGACTTTTCTATGGAGTATAAGCCAAGAAAGGTGAACTATGTTGCAGATGGTTTAAGCCGAAGGTACGCCATCGAGACTGTGGAAGGTACCCTACTCGAAAGGATCAAAGAAGGGTTGCCCCATGATCCAGCAGCCGAGCGAATTATTGAGGGAGCCAAGGAGGGACGAACCAGAGAGTTACGCAAGGAGCTCATGAAGGAATGCCATGATTCCAAGTGGGCGGGACATCCAGGAGTTGATCGGACTTTGGCATTACTCTCGGAGCAATACTATTGGCCGCACATGGCTGAAGATGTGCAAGCCTATGTGAAGACTTGTCTTGTGTGCTAGCAAGACAAAATTGAGGCAAAGAAACTGGCGGGACTTCTACAACCGTTGCCCATTCCTGAGCGCCAGTGGGAGAGTATTTCCATGGATTTTATCATAGGTTTGCCCAAAACTGATGGACTTTCAAGTATAATGGTTTTTGTTGATAGGTTTTCAAAGTATGCGACGTTCATACCGGCATCTAAAGTCTGTCCAGCCGTGGAGGCGGCTCGACTTTTCCTCAAGCATGTGGTGAAGTATTGGGGAATGCCGAAAACCATAATCAGTGACCGGGACACGCGGTTCACAGGGAGGTTCTGGACGGAGTTGTTCAAACTGATAGG